TCCGCCCCCTCCTCCTCCTCCTCCTCCTCATCATCAACATTCTCTTCCTCCTCCTCCTTCGCCTTCCCCTTCGTTTCCTCATTGTTCTCTTCTTCCTCCTCTTCCCCGTCTCCCCTATTCGTCCTCATCCTTCTTTTCCTCCGCATCCTCCTCCTCCTCCTCCTCTGCCCCATCCACCTCAATATCACCGCCACCACCACCACCACCATCACCATCATCAGCATCATTATCATCCTCGAAATCCTCCTCCTCTCGTCCTCCTCCTCCTCCTCCTCCTCCTCCTCCTCCTCCTCCTCCTCCTCCTCATCCTCCGCCTCCCCATCCTCCTCCCCCATCACCATCATCATCAACACCATCATCATCATCATCAGAAGCAGCATCATCTTAAGCCGCAGCATCATCGACATCAGCATCAGCATCAGCATCACCATCATCATCAGCAGCAACATCATCAACATCAGCATCAGCATCATCAGCAGCATCAGCAGCATCATCAGCAGCAGCATATTAGTCTGAGTCATCATGCCCATGCTCATCATCATCATCATCATCATCATCATCATCATCATCATCATCATCATCATCATCATCATCATCATCATCATCAGCATCATCATCATAATCAGCATCATCAGCAGCAGCAGCATCATTATAATAAGCATCATCGGTGTCATCAGCATCATCACCCTCAGCATCAGCATCATCAGCAGCAGCATACGCCTCATCGTCATCATCAGCATCATCAACATCAGCATCATCATCATCAGCATCATCATCATCATCAGCATCGGCAGCATCATCATCAGCAGCATCAGCAGCATCATCAGAATCATCATACTCATCATCAGCAGCAGCACCATCATCATCCGCAGCATGCTCATCAGCATCATGCTCGTCATCATCATCAGCAGCATCGGAATCATCATCAGCATCATCATCAGCATCGGCATCAGCACCAACATAATCATCATACTCAGCATCGTCATCGTCATCAGTATCAGCAGCAGCAGCATCACCGTCATCAGCATCAGCAGCAGCATCATCATCATCATGTTCATCCTCATCATCATTATTATCATCATCAACAGCATCATCATCATCATCATCATCATCATCACCATCATCATCATCATCATCATCATCATCATCATCATCATCATCATCATCATCATCATCATCATTAGCATCATACGCATCAGCATCACAAGCATCAGCATCACAATCAGCATGACCATCATCAGCATCATCACATCATAACCATCAGCAGCAGCTGCCTCACCGCCATCGTCAGTCTCATCATAAGCAGCATCGCCATCATCTTCAGCATCGTCATCAACATCATCATCAGCAACATCATAATCAACAACATCGTCAGCAGCATCATCAACATCATCAGCATCAGCATCAGCAGCATCATCCCCACCGTTATCGTCAGAATCATCCCCTGTGGAGCCATCAAAAAATCGTAAGCATGGGTCTCATCATCGTCAGTACCGTCACCATCACCACGAGCATCACCATTATAGTCACCATCATCAGCAGCATCATCGTCATCATCATGATCAGCAGTATCATCATCATCATCATCATCAGCAGCAGCATCATCAGCATCAGCAACATCATCATCAGCAGCATCATTCTCAGCATCACTATCATCCCAACTCTTGCATCATCATATATTTATAGACAACAGCATCGTAAACATCATCACCATCGTCCGTACCATCACCATCACCACAATCGCCAACGTAAGCATCATCATAATCATCATCAGCATCTTGATCATCATCGTCATCAACAACATCATCGTCTTCATCGTCATCGCCATGGTCATGTTTATGATCATAATCAGCAGCGGAAGCCACATCCTCATCGTCATCCTCATCAACATATTCCTCCTCCTTTTTTCTCATTCAACTTTTCCCCTCCTCCTCCCCCAACCTCCTCCCTTTCCTCCTTCTCCTCCTCCCTCCTCCTCCTCCGCATCCTTCTCGTCCTCCTCCGCCTCCTCCTTTCCATCCACGTCCTCCTTCTCCTCCTCCTCCTCCTCTTATGATATTCCTCCTCCTCCGTTTGCTCCTCCTCCTCCTTTTCTTCTTCCTCCTCGTCCACCTCCTTCTCCTCCTCATCACATCATCATCCCCACCAGTATCATCGGCACCATCATCATCATCATAGATTGACCATCATCATAATCGTCAGCATCATCATAGTCGTCAGTACCATCACCATCACCACCATCACCAACATAATCCAGCATGACCAGCATGATCGACATCATCGTCATCATCAGACTCATCATATATATATATGCAATCACCATTATAAGTATGAGAAGAATAAGAGTAATAATAATAAAGATAATAATCATCAGCAACATGATATCCATCCTCATCGACATATTCCTCCTCGTCAACCCACTCATCCTGTTTCTTCTCCTCCTTCGAACTCCTTAGAAAAAACTACACTAAAGCGCTTCAGCGAGGTTTGACGATGTCTCGTTCACAATGAGGCTAAATGAACGTTCCACTGATAAATACGTGAACCAAATGGCGTCGGTAACGGCACCCGTCCGACGACTGACTGACGCATCCTTATCACCCAGTCACAGAGCGATGTTCACGGGGAGCTGAAAATGATGGGCAAACTGGACGATAGATGTTAACAGTACCGGTATCAAGCAGCAGAAACCCAATCTCAAACTCAGCAATTCATGTCAAAAATCATCTCTGGTCGAGGAGCCCTACGGGGGCCCCTCGCTCCGCAAGCGGAGACGAAGGGCATGAGACAATACAGCAATGAAACGCGCATGCAAGATAATTGGCTGGTGTATATCGGTGGCACATTAATCGCACATCGAATATACCACCACTATGGTTCAGAAATGACTTCTCCAGCTGCTGCCAGGAGAAGCGGTGTTGGCTGTAAATCACATCAATGAAACTCGTGCCGCACTCGTGCTGAAGAAACGCATCTACATGAACTGTCCATCGACGCCGTGGCCGACCGCGACGTCGTGGGCTGGCAGGGCGCGGGCTTGAAACTTGCGGGGGACATTCTTGCGAATCGCTTGTGGCGAATCGTGCCAAGAGGTGCCACGTTGACCAGCCCAACACAACGAGCCAGTCGGACACAGGGAAAACTTGCATAGCAACACGCACGTTTCGCTTACACCGTCGCCCCGACTCTTCCCACCTCGGAGCCCGTGGAAACCGACGATCCGACGGAGCATGTTTGCACGAGTTGATGCAATCGTTGACCTACGCTGTGCTGTCGTGGCGGTCGTCGGGAGACCATAGACAGCGGCGGGCGTAACCACAGCGTCGAAAAGCTTAAAACGAAGCCGCAAAGATATAGATCTATTCAGAAGCACCATTCTGTGGGAGATAAATTTCCCCCTGCGCACTCCATGCGACAACTTACACTGCATCCTGATCTGCATCGCAACTCGCCTCCGAATTTTTTGCCGAGACACTTGTGGAACACATGGGACGTCATGACAGGCAGCTGGCAGCCGGCAAGCTGCAAAACGAGAGACTCGTCAACGTTGGAAGCGGCAACGTCGTTCATAAAATTCCGCGTCTTGTCCGCATTGAGTGAGAGACCGCCCGCTGACGATTCTTCCGAAATAATGTCCAGCATGCGAACAACCCTGGAGGCGGGACGCACATAAAGTAAAATGTCACCAGCGCACCGCATGTTGCTAAGCAAATCGACGCCTCCAACATCAAAGCAGCATTGCTGAGCGCGTACTCTGAACTTCCGAATTGCATGCTCTACACCAGCATTGAAGAGCAGCGCTGACAGAACGTCTGCTTGACGCCTCGGGTAATGTCAAACGCTGTGCTGCCATTCACGCTACCCCATTGGGGATGTCTGCCAAAAGCCGTACGCACTCAGCGTAAACTCCCTGCTCCGACAATGTCTGGAAAAGAACGTGGTTCTCAAGCCCGTCGAAAGCTTTAGCAAGGTCAACGTTAGCGATCCACAGCGGGAGCTGCCACTCCCAAGATTTCTTGCAGGCATCCTCCAAAACGACTAAAGCAAAGCATCGTCTACGGAGCGGCCCGGTCAAAATCCTACCTGGTCGTGCGTCTGTCTGTTCTTTTTCTAGATCGGGCTGCAATACATAGAAGAAGCGAATTCGGGTCATACGAAACGGGCACTTGCAGAAGGCAACTCCAGTGTGGGCGTTAACGTGGAAGGCCCTCCTGAGACGCGATACACTATTTTTGAAAGTGTCGCCAAATTCACGGCTACGCGAAATACTCAACAACAGGCAACGGTTAACGAGTGGAAAGAGAGGAGAAAAGGGGGGGAAAAACAAACAGAAAAAAACAACCAGCGATGGTAGCAGCGGCTGGCGGACCTCGCGGGCGCAGACGCGCGACCACCCCGCACTCTGAGCTATGTCCCGGATGCTGTTGGCGCTGGGAATCGGGAACCAGTGAAGGCTCATCGGCTGACAAGCACGTGGTCTTGGAGTCGATCGCCTGGGTTACACCAGCACCCGCAGTCGCGGCCCCCAGACAGCTTTAACACTCGGGTCAGCCACAGGTTCGCGACGGCCCGTGGCCTCCCAGAGCGAGCGGTCGGGGTTGCGCTGGTCGCAAGGGAAATCAGCGCGGACGCGCCCCGGCATCCTCAACAACCACGCCCCCGCGCTGGGATTGGCCGAGCACCTTCCGCTTTCGACCCAGAGCCCGAAGGCGCATGCCGGCAACCATGCCTGCCAGCAAACAGCCTCTTGCCTCCTCTTCGGGCGGTGGCGGACCCCAGACTCGTTTCACGGGAATGCGTAAGGGTGGTCATCGATCGCGCGGTGCGCATGGGATAACGCGGCCTTGGTCTTCTCGTGGAACCTGCAGGTGTCCAGGGCTTGGCGAAGAGCGCGCAACGCGTCCCTGTTCAACTGCTCGGGAGGCTCATACTGTTCAGAATGCGTGACAGACCAGTTGGCCAAGTTGATGGAGAAATTAGCTCACTGTTCTGTCGAGAACCTCATGGTAACCGTCCTGGTCACTGTGGGATTCCTCGAAGATAACCTTGGTCGCGACGACCACGGGGTCACCTGCCCACACCATTCCGAACATGGCACCGAACAGAATGATTAACTCATATTCCCGCATCTCTGGAGCGGCCTGGATGGCAACCTGCGCCTCGGGAGCGGTCTGATGAAGATCTCAACAAAACCGATCGCCATCGGTTCAAGTCGGGTCGAGGTCCCTCGGGCCACACGGCGAACAATTATCGTTCGGCAACTTGGCCTGAATGCGGCTGGCCCAAGCAACCCAGGCGTCGCGCGCAGCCTGGCATTGGGTCGATAACTCCCTGCGAAACGAGGAGGTCCCTCCAGATATGGCAACGGTAACAACTGATGACCGTCACCGTAGCGGAATTCGAAGCTGCTCTTGAACATGGAGCAGTCGCCCTGCGAAAATTACCCGCCCGGAAGGGCCGGCAAACTCGCGAGGCTGGCGCCCATCAGTCCAACGACCGAGGCAGCTCCGCGAGAAGTTACGGACCGCTTGGGTTCTCCAGAGGTTGGACCTGAAACTGGAACGAAATTCGGGCCGCACTCCTCGTCACCCCCCCCTTCAACTCCTCCCGCGCAAAGCTGCGGCGGGCGGCGCTTGCCGATGATAACGCTCGCCCACGCAATGGTTGACGAGGGGGCCTCACGCGAACCCTACCCCTACCTCCCACGATTTCTGAGGGGGAGGGTGGAGTTCCCTTCGTTCGGGAGCTCCCGAGCGAAGTGAACCCCACCCTCCCCCTCAGAAATCGTGGGGGGTAGGGGTAGGGTTCGCATGTGGCCCCCATATTGACGCCGCGGGGTGGGGGGGGGCGCCGGGGGGCGAGCGTCTCTGGCCGCACGAGGCGGTGCTGCCCCAGAACCGCCCGGCGCAGCTCGCCGAACGCAAGCTCGCCGCCGCCGCCAGAGCCCGCGCCGCCAGGAGCTCTCTCGGCTCCTCGGAGGCCTCGCCAGATGAGCGGTCTCGTCTGGCGGGTTCTCCCAGCGCGCGCCCTACAGGGCAGTTTTTAACACAGAGGATTTTAACAAGTATTGGATTTCTAATACATGACTAATGTATGAATAAATGTATGCATGAACTCATCCTTGTTTTTAATACTAAATCCCTGCATTGATACATGATCCGCACGCGGAGCATGTATTAAAGACGGCTCTGTAACCTGACTGGTGATGACTGCTTTGGGGCTGGCGCAACACGTATCACCCCCGATGTCGGCGTCGCCTGGAAGAGCGCGGCACCGGCCCCCTTGACATGCAGGGCCTGCGGCCACGCTTCCAGTGCGGTGGGCGATTGGCATCTCCCCTCCTCCGTGTTCTCTTCCTCCTCCCCCGGGCCCCCTCCTCCTGCACCGTCTATAGTTGCTCGCTGCACGACAACACAAACCCTTACTGACGACGGTAAGTCGTGCTCAGTATGCCACGGGTCCGCGACGGCAGCCACGATGTCAAAACGGCTAAAAGGTGATTGCAACGCCTTGATTTCCATGGATGGTACTCCAGATTTCGTAATAAAAGGGAGGGGGTCTGGACCCTCCAAGACGAGCCATTTCAGACCCCCCCTGTGGGAGAACCCTCCAAAACATCGCCCCCAGACCCCCTCAGGCCCTCCAAGATAGCCTGGAAGAGACCCCCCCCGAAATGAGACCCCCCTCCCTTTATTACGAAATCTGGAGTACAGTTTCTCGGGTTAGAAGGGGGGGTATTATGCATATCGCTGGAGGCTGGGCCCACCCCTCACACGCCCTAATGCATCACCACTCGTTAGGAACATGGTACTGCAACGTATGCGGCTACTTCGGACAATCCCAGCTCAGGGGGTTCGGTACCGTTTGAAAAATACCTATTTCCAAGACTCGTCGCGAATATCTCGATAGGATTCGCCGTGACGAGTTTCCCAAGCGCAAGTGATCTGAGCCTCGAGCAATGGCTTGAGCAGTGGATTCTGTAGTTTCGCTACGCAGAGGCTGTAGATCCTGCAATTCCTCCTGATAATTAGCTGGTATGGCTCGTGCGGTGTGATTCGAATGATCCACTTGGATGTTCACGGAGAATACTTTGGCACATCGATGCACGTGCTCCAGGAGAGGCTTTCGGAAACATCGCTCGGATGCTCCTGGAGAATCTCTAGGCGCTTGCTGCGATCGGTCTTGCGTGTGCCTTTGGGCCGGCTTCGGGACGGAAGGGTGGGAATGTGCTCTGACGTGTTCGGCGATACTCGGAGGCTCTTGGCCGCTTTCCAGAGCCCCTTCGGAAGTCCTGCAACAGTTCGGGAAGTAAAAAGCAAGGCCCTGAAATCGGTGAGAGAAACAAAAGCAAAGGAAACATGTGTGTGTGTGTGTCGCCCCTTGGCGTCTTCTTGGGGGTCCATCCCCTCGGGGACTTGTCGAAGCGGCATGGGGGCTCCTGGAGCCATCTTCAAGCAGTGTTGAGCCGCCCTCAAGCGCTTCA